CATGGCCAAGAGGCACATGAAAAGCTGCTCAACATCACTAATTATTAGAGAAATGCAAATCAAAACTACAATAAGGTATCACCTCACACCGGTCAGAACAGGCATCATTAGAAAATCTATGAACAACAAACGCTGGAGAGGGTGTGGAGAAAAGGGAACCCTCTTGCATTGTTGGTGAGAACGTAAATTGCTACAGCCACTATGGAGAACAGTATGGAGGTGCCTTAAAAAACTAAAAATAGAACTACCATATGACCCAGCAATCCCACTACTGGGCATATACCCTGAGAAAACCATAATTCAAAAAGTCACATGCACCCCAATGTTCATTACAGCACTATTTACAATAGCCAGGTCATGGAAGCAACCTAAATGCCTATTGACAGATGAATGGATAAAGAAGATGTGGTACATATATATAATGGAATATTACTCAGCCATAAAAAGGAACGAAACTGGGTCATTTGTAGAGATGCGGATGGACCTAGAGACTGTCATACAGAGTGAAACAAGTCAAAAAGAGAAAAACAAATATTGTATATTAATGCATATATGTGGAATCTAGAAAAATAGTATAGATGAACCGGTTCGCAAGGCAGATGGAGACACAGATGTAGAGAACAAGTGTATGGACACTAAGGGGGGAAAGTGAGGGGGCGGTTGTGGTGGGATGAATTGGGAGATTGGGATTGACATATATAAACGAATATGTAAAAAATAGATAACTAATAAGAACCTGCTGTATAAAAAATAAATAAATAGAGTAAAATTTTTTAAAAAACTAAAAATAGAACTACCATATAACCCAGCAATCCCACTGCTGGGCATATACCCTGAGAAAACCATAATTCAAAAAGAGTCATGTACCACAATGTTCACTGCAGCTCTAATTACAATAACCAGGACATGGAAGCAACCTAAGTGTCCATTGACAGATGAATGGATAAAGAAGATGTGGCACATATATAAAATGGAATATTACTCAGCCATAAAAAGAAACGAAATTGAGTTATTTGTACTGAGGTGGATGGACCTAGAGTCTGTCATACAGATTAAAGAAATCAAAAAGAAAAAAACAAATACCATATGCTAACACATATATATGGAATCTAAAAAAAAAAAAAAAAAGGTTCTGATGAACCTAGTGGCAGGGCAGGAATAAAGATGCAGATGTAGAGAACGGACTTGAGGACACAGTGGGGGAAAGGGAGGCTGGGATGTAGTGAGAGAGTAGCATGGACATATATACACTACCAAATGTATAATAGATAGCTAGTGGGAAGCAGCTGCATAGCACAGGGAGATCAGCTCGGTGCTTTGTGACCACCTAAAGGGGTGGGGTAGGGAGGGTGGGAGGGAGGCACAAGAGGGAGGGGATATGGGGATATATGTATTCATATAGTTGATTCGCTTTGTTGTACAGCAGAAACTAACACAACATTGTAAAGCAGTTATACTCTAATAAAGATGTATAAAAAAAAAAAAAAAGAAATCTAGTCCCATGGATGTTTACCCAAATCCCCATAGGCTGGTAGCTCCTTCCCTGAGGAAGTCCTGCACTTTCTAGACCTACAGCCTGGCCCCCAGTAGGTGCCTGATTCTGAATTCCCAAATTCTTTGGGGAAGCAACTCCTAGCCCCCAGTTCAGCTGTCCTGGGCTCTGAATCACGCTAGGGCTGCCCTCCTGGCCTTGGGGCATCATGGGCATGGAGAGGACCTCTTGTCAGGGCAGGTACTCGGGCCCTGCCGCTCTGATGGGTGGCAAGTGATGCACCGCAAAGAGGAGCAGGCAGGGAGGGAGGCGAGGCTGACGCTCTCACTTGCAGCCCAGTGTCTGAAGGTGGTTCTTCAGGCTGAAATGCAGATGAACAAGGGCAGTGTGGCCCTTGGTTGCCCAGCTAACAGAGCTTCTCTGTGTGCAAAACAGCAAGGAACTATTTCTTCATGGTGCAGGTTTATTGCCATGAGGTGGAAAGCAGAATGTCATCTTAATTCATCAGGGAACAGGAGTCAAGAATGTGCCAGAGTGCCAGCTCTGGGCACTGAGCTGCAGCTCTGTTAGAGCCTCATCTAGACCTCAATGAATATAAATCAGCACAGAGGTGCAAGGCTCCACCGTTGGCACCTCCAGCTCCCCTGGCCAGCTGGCCAGGCTGGTGTACAGAGGGCATGTAATCCAGAGTCACTCTGGGGGTCCAGGGACATCCCCAAACCCATAGAAGAGCTACAACCAGGAGGGTCTGATGGTTCCCCAGGGAACAACTTTTGGATACAAGGCTCTGCTTAATGACAGAAAGACCTTGGGGTCAAACATGGACTGTATGCATATGAACATGCTGTGTTTGCGTGCCCTTGGGTGTCTGCGTGACCACGTGGACCAAAGGCCACGCAGAGGCCTTCGGTCACCAAGCAAGCCAGGCTGAGCTCTGGGATAGGCCTTGGCCAGTGGGGAGGGCTGTGTGCCCTTCACTGGATCCCTGGGCTATCCCTGCCGGGCACCAAGACCCTGGCACCTCCAGGCCTTCCCCGCTGACCAGGCTGCCACAACACAATGCACTCAGCAGGTGGCTCGTGTCCTCAGCCTCACAAGGGACAATCTGGATCACTGCCCCTCCCCCCATTCCCCAAGATGGAAGCCCCTCCTGCCACCAGTCCTTTCTGCTTCCTCCTCCCTGCACAGCCCTGGACTTCCTTTCCCTCAGCCCACCACCATCACCACCTTCCTCTCATGACTCCTGCAGGTCTCTGGCACCTTCATTCCACAGTGATCTCTCTCCTGGCCTTCCCTGTAAACCCTCCCTTGCCTGAGGACATCGCTCCCCAGCAGCCCTCTAGAGGGAGGCTGCTCATCCCCCACTCACCTGATTCAGGAGGCCATCCCCTACTTTATCCTCGGAGCCCCAGCCTCCATGGGCAAAGCCCCTGCCTCTGGGCAGGGCCAACCTTCCACCTTCCCACACCCTGTTGCATCTTGGAATGGCTCCACCCCACCCTGCTGTCATCCTGGGGGCCTTCAGCATCTCTGTGGACATCCACCAATCCCCAAGAGGACGAAGCCTCTTCGTCCCTTGACTTCCTCATCTCCAGCGACCCTTGAATCACTTTAGGCCCCCGCTCCCTTGGTGCCCCATACCCAAAAAAATGGGCACAGCCCCCACTGTCTGATTACTCCCTCACTCCGAGGTGCCCGCCACCTGGCACTCACCTCCCAAAGAGCTCCAGTCTTCTTTCCTGTCCACCTACCTTACTCTCATCCCTCCCTGACATAGCCTCCGTAGGCCAGCACCTCAGACACTCCCTTCCCCACTTCTAGGACACATTATAGGGTCTGCCTCTAGCCCACGAACAAGGGGAGTCACTCTCAAGTGTAAAAGGAGTGGTGCCATGACTCGAGGTGCACTTTAGAGATTCCTCCAGCTGCTGAGGCATTTCTGCTCCAGGGCTCTCAATAGTGTGGGAAGCCACTGCAGGAACCCATGGAAAGGTGAATGGTGATGGAGAAAAAATGATGGCTGTTGGAGTGAAAAGATGTGAACAAGCCAAGAACTATCTAGGAGGCCAGGCTATAGGACTTTGAGAGAGAGAGCTCAAAGCCGACACTCAAACTTATGACTTGGCAGTTGACTTGACAGGAGGCACCCATCCCCAACAGACAAAATACAGGAGGAGGAGCCAGGTCTTGGGATTGGAGGGTGGGGGTGGGAGGAGAGTGAAGACTTCCGGTTTAGACACGTTGAGTTTGAGGAGTATGTGAGCTATCCAGGAAGCAGTTAGGTCTGAAGTTCAAAGAAAGTGGCATGGGCAGGTGAAGACCCCTGACAAGTGCAAAAGGTCACCCAAAGAGAATATAGAGTGAGAAGAGAAGAGAGCTCAGGACACAGTCCTGAGAAAACCACACTCATGGGCAAGGCAAAGAAAACGCGCACCTGAGAAGTTATGCCTAAGAGGCTGGAGGGAAACCAGGAGAAAGCAGTGACAGGAGGCTGCTGGCAGCCTCAGAGGGGCTAGTTACAGGGGAGAGGAGGGAGGAAGCCCGGACACAAATGACAGGTAAGGAAGAGGGACTGGGAGAACAGACACCTCTTCCAGGAGCCTTGCCGTGAAGAGAAGCAGGAGGATGGGACCATGCTCCCATCCTGGGAGGGGACACACATGGGTATGTGACCACGTGAGAGCAAGACCTGAATGCACAGGGTCTGCAGGAGGGGGAGCTCTTTAACATGCGCCTATTCTCCACTCAGGCTTGGGGCTCCCTTGGGCTCCCTGAGTGTCAGACCTAAGCCCTAGACAGACAGACACCAGGCTGGCCTAGGGGCAACCTCTCAGCAGAACAGGCTGACACACCCTAACTTGTCGAATAGGTCCAAATCAGCCCCTTCCTGGAGAAGCACGGGTACTGACCAGAGCCAGGGCAAACATACCATGTCCAGGATGAACACCTGAGGGCACGTTTGGGGGACCTCTGAAGTTTGTTCTGGAACCTCTGAGCTAAGTAAAGACTGGCCACCCTCTGCCCTCTCGGCAGGAGCAGCACTTCCAGAGCTGCCTGAACAAGTCATGAGACCATTCCCATCAAGAGAAGCAGCAGATTTTTCAATCGTTCGGGGAAAGCAGTGAGTGGCTGAAGCCGCCAAAAAGCTGGAGACTCCTGGGCATGTAGTCCAAAGGGTCTGGACCATAAGAAAATCAGTCACTTTGCAACATGGGAGAGGGGAAAAGATCAGATGGTCTTGAGTCAGACACACCTTCCAAAGCTCAGCTCCAGCATCTAACTGCTGAGTGACCTTGGGTCTCAATTTCTTCATCTGTAAAATGGAGCTAATACCTTTCCTAGAATCCTTTTAAGATTAAATGAGATAACACAGGTAAACATCAACCTGTCGCACAAGAGGACTCCGTCACTGCATGAGAGTAGCAGAATTATCATTTCATCAGGGGCTGACGGGCAGATGGGCCCTATCACCTGCACTCCCAGAGCCACGGCATCCCATGTCACTCACTCGGATGCCGCGGCTATAGGGGATAAGCTTGAGAATGCGCAGGGACTGTACGCCATCGGCGATGTTGAGGTAAGGGTAGTGCTTGCCCTTGATCTTGCGGAGACTGTAGGGGATGAAGATGATGATGACAATGGTCACATCTAGCAGGTTGTAGCCATCCTTCCAGTAGTTGATGGGGTCCACGTAGAGCTTCATGCAGAACTCGGAGCTATAGATGGACACAAAGATGAGCTCTGAGACCTACAGGGGTGGTAAGGGTAGGAGGGTCAGACCAAGCTGCAGACCTTACCCCTGCCTGGGCCACCCAATCAGGTGTGTGTGTTGGCGGGGCGAGGGTGGGAGCGGGTGCTCCTAAGTCAGCCACAAGACAGAGAAACCCAGGCAGAGTCCCTGGCACACAGTGGACACAATGTGCCTGATGCCCTTCTCTTTCTGTGTCTTGCCTACCCTGTGGCCCCGAGCTTAGGGCTGGGTTTGACCCAGATGGCTTGGGAATGACTGACTGACCAATGGACAGAATGACTATTGAGGCCCGGTGGGAGGTGCGTGTCAGGCAGCCCGGATTTCCAAAGAGAAGATCCCAAGAGCCTTCTGGCCAACCTGAATACCCAGACTTTTGGGAACGGAGATGAACTACTCACACATCTACTTTATTTACTCTATTATCACACATACTTAAAATCAGTTAATTAATCTGCTTCTGAAGAACATTCTGCTTTTTCTTCCCACTTTTATACTTTATGAAACAATCTTATTCAAATTCTTCTCATGCATCTACAACTCCAGTGGCTTTGATTTTACCAAAAGGTACTTTTTGAGTCATCTAAGTTTTTCCTTATCATCAATGAATTCATTCATTGAGGAAGCTTTGATTAAGCATCTACCACATGCCAAGCAAGCACTGTTTCAGGCACAGGGAAATGAAACAATGAGACAGTCTCATTTTTTTTTTTTTAGAAGTTAATTTTTTTTTATTGGGAAACCAAGGTAACAAACCTAAACTTATTGAAAATGAAATCAGTAACTAAGACTCTGCAGGCCCCATCCCCAACCAGCACAAAGGCCTCTGTTTGGCCTAACCCCAGTTTCTCTTGTCCCCAAAAGAACAACCATGTGAAGAACCTGGGGTCAACCTCAGGGCACACACTGCAACTCCCTCTACCCCACCCTCAAGTGACACACACACCCCGGATCAGCAGGCTGGGTCTAGGCCCAAGGAGGGAATGGTGAGGTTTCCTGGGTGGCAGGGAATCCCGCCCCAACCTGGTCAAAATCCCGAGTTAGGAAAGGAAGACAGAAGGGAGACTGGCTTGCCCACCCACTCCCCTCCCCTCAGTCCCCCCAGACAACAGGCTCACATCCCTGATCAGTAACACTGTGATTCTGAGGTGTCAGTAGGGCTCCCAGTGGCTTCACCAGATTACTGCAAAGGGCCCAGGGGAGGGGGCAGGCATTTACCCTGCCACCTGTTCAGTATTAGCCAGCCAAGCTGCTGCCCTCAGCTTGTGCTGTGGCCCCTCTCCCCTGTAGACACCCATGGCTGGGGACCAGGCCTCCCGCCAGAGAGAAATGAGTCCAGGAGGCCCTTGCTTCCCCAGCCAGGGAGGAAGGATGGCCTGGGAAGCCTGGGACGGCTACACCAGCTTCTTGGCTTCCAAGAAGCTCTTGGGGTGTCGCATCTGCCCAACGCCAATGGCTACGAGAATGAGGGTCTGCAGGATAGATCACCACAGCACGCCCAGGAAGCTGACGGTCTAGTAGGGGAGACGGAAATGAATGTTTAGACAAATACATACATAACATCAGACAGGAAGGAACATGAAACAGCCAAAGGGGAGAGAGGGGCTGGCCAGGGTGGGGAGGGGCAGGCATGGCAGCTACTTTAGAAAAGGTGCTGAGTGGAGGCCTTGCTAAAGCCAGGGATGGAGCCATAATAAAAACTGGGAGACTACTCCCCAATGGCGAGTACAAGGGCCTTAAGGGGAGAAAGGAACAGCAAAGCTAGCGTGGCAAAACAGAAAGGGGTGAGCAGAGCAGGAGATGCAGTTGGAGGGGCGGGCCATGTAGGGAGGGTCTTGTAGGCCTGGTGAGGGCTGTGAACTTTAACCTCAGCCTTGGAGGAGTTTGAGCAAGGGAGTGATGTGAACTGATATACATTTTAAAGAGATCTCCGTGGAAAAGAGACCGTGGGGGAACCGGCAGGAGTAGCAACTGGGAGGCAAGTTAGGGAGGAGGTGCTAGATAGTAGAAGAACCATCATCCAGGCAAGAGACGAGGTTAGATTGTATTGGAGTGGGGGACAGTGTGGAGCTGAAGAGAAGAGGACAGATTCCGGAAGTATTTTGTGGACAGTGATGACAGGACTTGCTGATGGACTCAGGGATGCACAGGGTAGAGAGAAGGCAAGGAAGACTCTAGTGCTTCACACAGAGCAACTGGGTAAATGCCGATACCTTTAACTGAGATGAGTTTGGGGTGGGGTGAAGGGGGGCTAGAGAGAGTTTCTATTTCCATTTCTAGAGGGAAATAGAAAAGGTTTTGAGATACACCACCTTTTAAATATGTCAGATGCTGTCACTGGAAATTGTAACTCAAGCCACAACTATCCATTTGGAAAACATTAGGGCAGCTGGTGGTGTTATTTGTCCTGTATACTTATATTTGTGGTCACCACATGGCAACCATTTAATACACTTTTATGTTTGTTAACTACAATGAAACATTTAATATACACAAAAAGGTATAAAGAATAATATAATGAACAACCATATACCACCACCCAGCTTAAGAAATAAAATATTACCATTACAGGCAGAGCCTCACATTGATCAGATCCCCTTCCCTTCCCACAAAAGTAATCCTATTTTAAATCTGGAGTATGTCTTGCTCGTGTGTTTTATACTTTTACCACATATGCATCCCTAAAAGTACATAGTATGGTTTTGCATTTTTTATACACTACATAAATTGCATATACATTACAGTATTCTTTGGGTGATTTTTTTTCATTTAAAATTATAAGATTCATCCATGTTGATATATGTAAACCTAGTTTAGTGTTTCACCACTATTTAGCAATTCCACTTATGAAAATACTATAATTTCTTTATCCAGTTACCCATTTTTTACTACTGCAAAGAGTATAAAAGTACAAAAAGTTTGAGTCAGGTTGCAGGGCCATTTAAAAAGTGGACTTAAGGTCCTTTGCCCCTGGGCCCTCTCCCCAGCCAGATCGTGGGCAAGATGGCTGGGTGTGCAGCATCCTCAAGCCCATGATCAGTTCCTCCGTGTCCCTAGGGACCCCAGTCCCTGCCACAGCAGATTCTGAGCACCCCTTGGGCTCCCAGCTGCTGGGCCACCAGCACCAACTTCTGGAGCACCGGAAAGGGAATTCTCCTGTTTGCTAAGATTCTATTGTGCCTGGTGATTCTGACCTGCCTTGATTGCTGATTGAGATGATCTTTGCTGCTATATTCTTTATCATCTATGTGTGTTACCTGCACACTGAGATATATAGGCTATCAGCTGGCCTTGGAGTGATTTCTTCCAAACCCACATAGTGGTCATCCTCTACCTGATCACCTCAACCGTTGTCCTTGTTGAGAGAAGAAACCACTCCAAAATCATCACAGGAGTACTGGGTCTAATCGCTGGGTGCCTACATGGCCATGATGCCCACGTTACCTTCCCCTTGCGGCAGCAGACACAGCTGCCCCACTAACCCTGCAGACGGCCAGCTGTAGTTGAACTCCCTTCATTTCTCTCTGAAACCTGCAAATAACACCTCCATCGAAATAACTCCCTGCCCTTACAACACTCCCAACCAACTCATAGCCCCATGTTTTACTGTACACATGTGTAGTTTTTCTCTGTTACACACCTAGGAGTGGAATTACCTGATTGTAGAATATGAGCATCTTCAGCTTCACTGGATTTTGCCAAATTGTTTTCTGAAGCTATTGTACTAACTTACTTTAATACCAACGATGCTCCTTATTTTTTATTTCTATTGGAGTATAGTTGTTTCACAATGTTATGTTAGTTTCTGCTGTACAGCAAAATGAATGTTATATGTATACATATATCCCCTCTTTTTTAGAATTCCTTCCCATTTAGGTCACCACAGAGCACTGAGTAGAGTTCCCTGTGCTATACAGTAGATTCTCATTAGTTACCTATTTTATACATAGTAGTATATATATGTCTATCCCAATCTCCCAATTCATTCCACCACCACCCTCCCCGCCTTGGTATCCATAAGTTTGTTCTCTACATCTGTGTCTCTATTTCTGCTTTGCAAATAAGTTCATTTGTACCATTTTTCTAGATTCCACATGTAAGCGATATTATACGATATTTGTTTTTCTCTTTCTGACTTACTTCTGAACAATGCTTTATTTTTTTTTAACATCCTTACCAATACTCCCTACTGTTGGACTTCTTAATTTTTGTCAATCTGATGAATATGAAATGGTATCTTATTTTTCAGTTTGTCATTTCTCTAATTATTAATGAAGTTGGGCATCTTTTTATATGTTTAAATTGTGAATTGCCTGTTCCTAATCTGTTGCCAAATTTTCTGCTAGATTGTTTTGTCTTTTTCTTATTGATTTGGAAGACAATATATCACATACTTTGAATCCTAAGCCTTTACCTGTTATATGTGTTTCAAATAGCATCTCCTACAGTGACTTATCCTTTCACCTCTTTAATGATCTTTTGATGAATAGAAATTTAAAGTTTTAATGGAATCAAATTAACCAAACTTTTTCTCCATGGCTTATTTATTTCATACCTTAAGATACCTTTCCCTTCTGAGATCATATAAATCTATATTTTCTTCTAAAAATTTAAAGTTTCACTTTTCAAGTTAGGTCTTTAGCTGTATATGCTGGAAGGTAGAGATCCAATTGTGTTTTTTCTTTCCACATGTACTGTTTAATGAAGAATTTCTCTTCCACCACTCATTTGCAATGCCATCTGACAGGGGCCAGGTTTTCATACAAGCCAGGTCTGTTTCTGAGCACTCTATCCTGTTCCATTGGTCTATCTGTCTATCCGCGCATCATCACCCTGCTTTAATTACTGCAGCATTATAGGAAGTCTTATTACCTGGTAAGTCGAGACTTCTCCCCTTTTCACTTTCAAAACCATCTTGGTTTTTTATATTTCACTCTTTTATCTAAATTTTAGCATCAGCTTTTGGCGACCCATAAAAAAATCCTGCCAGATTTCTTATT